GCTCTGAGGACACCTTATAATGGAATCTTTTCCTAATTTCCTTGCTTTCTGTTGGGAATTGCTCCTTGCTCTCCTTCAACCCACTTTAAAATCTATTCATGAGCAATATCTGATTGGTTTTCTCTCAGGGATCCAATCAAACCAACACAAGAGGTTGACAGAGCTTTCACTGAGGTTTCAAATAACAACAGCCACCTCTCCAGCCCACGAGGACGGACTTTTTCTGAATCCTGAGAACTGCTGCACACGGTGCACCCGACGCCTGAAACAGCAGAGTGGCGCAGACGCACCGTCAGCCTCCAAACCTAAGCCACAAATTATGTCTGGTACATGGAAGAGATCATGTGGCCCTGCAGCGGAGTAGGGGTGGTGAGAACGAGGAGTTTGGTGGTAACTGGGTTGGGATTGGACGGATACGATTTACATTCCTCTCCAGGGATGTGATATCAAGACAAGGTCATACCAAGGCTAATACATAAGACTCCAAGGAGAGGGAGGAGGAATCTAATCTTTGCTCTTTACCTCTTTACTCAAAATGACTTTTTTATGTAGAATACAATACCATATTGTATGTTAACTCTGCGTGTTGTGTAATTCTCCACAAGATACAATCTGTCTCGCATTATATTATCTACCTACATCTTTATGGATCTTTTTATTTGCCTGATAAATTTGGACATTCAGCCGATACCTTGCACACAGTATTTGTCAATACTATACGTTGACATACTTTCAATGCATTTTGGGAGATTTGTTTTGTAGGAGTTGCCCTCAAGGAAATACCTCAAACTCCATCAACGTCCCATAGCACATTCCATCTCATCTGACTAGCCGGCGCACAGACAGACTAACCTCAATGCCCAGAGGAACCTCATTGTAATTGCAAAAGTAATGTTACACTGCAGACTAACACTTGAAGCTGAATAGAGTATTCCAGTCACACTTGCAGCTGAAACAAAGTTGACTTTTTCTACACCGTTACTTTAAGGGTGACATTCTCATGGATACCTGATACGACTATTTTCGGACGGAACCGTGATATTTGCATCTAAAATGCATCACGCAGCTTCTGAGAGAGAAGTAGAGGAAGGTAAGGCAGTTTCTCCAACAGCGGGGAAAATATCCTGACAGCCTAAAGAGATTAGTGTCCATTACCAAACAAATTTCTGCTACCACCTACAACACTTATGACAGCCCTCAGTTCAACCCTCATAGGAGCCCTGGTTAAAAAAAATAAAAAAATAACACACACTTTTGTCCTCATGGCCATGTTCCCTCGACACCAGAATGAAACAAGCTCTGTTTTCTTGGTTGCCGGGTCTGAGAAGAGGGGGCGAGTGTGTTTTAAGAAGGGTGTGGGAATCAATTACCCCACTCAAGGGACATGCAGGACCGGTGGGTATTGCTTAGGATTAGTGTCCATTCTTGTCATGTACTGACAAACCCTCCTGCTGATCTCCTTAAAACCAGGTGTTATTAAGAAGCACAGCCCTTACTGGGGGTCTTTAGGCTTTTGAATGACTGCCCTTTAGGAATGACTGACAAGCTTATAATGTTGAAAAAAAAGTGCATTCCTGTGCTTTCATGTGCTCACCTGTGTGAATTATGTGAATGATATTGAGCATGAGCTGAAAGTGAAATCATGCAAACAGCTAATTGATAGGACTTACAACTTTAGCTGCGACTGCTTCGATTATTCTTCCTATACAACTACATTATCTGTCATCTTGTGTGGAAAAGGGTGGCAGCATTTTGTTGACATTTTGGGAGATATTCTCTTCAATTAGCTCATCATAGCACAAAGACTGGAAACAGAGGGAAATAGCCTGGCTCTGTTTGAACAAAACAAAATCACCAGCAACTCTAATACTAAAGCTTTATCTTTTGTGTTTAAGTGTAAAACTGTCTGACACGTAACATCATTTTACAGGCTACACATGCAGATGCACGAAATGATTTCAGGCCTTCATGTGCACTTCTATGTTTCTATGAAGTCTTGAGAAATCAGCCCCGACCTCTTCATTCATATTATTTTGACAACTAAAGGAATTTTAAACGTTAAACCTTATTTAAATAATGACATACATAGCATACATAGATGGAATTTTACCCTTTCTAAGCATTAGGAGCAATGGGCTGCTGTAAAGCAAACGGGAGCCATTTGGGGTTCAGCGTCTTGCTCAAGGACACTTCAACCTGTGCTGCAGGGGATCAAACCACCAATCTTGTTACTTAAAGACGACCCTCTCTAACACCTGAGCAACAGCCGCCCAAAAGCAAATTATCCCCATTTCTTGCTGAGGATTAGATGAAAAGATCAACAGCACTCTCTGTTAAATATGAAACTTCAGCCAGCAGCTGGTTAACTTAGCTTAGCATAAAGACAGGAAGCAGGAGGTAAAAGCAAGCGTGACGACAAGACATCAGGAAGAAAATGCACCCGCATATAACCTCCTGTCAAAACCCCCAAGTTTAAGTTTCACACTGTAGTTTTTGTTCAGACTGAAGAAATAAGATATAAATTGTTAATTAGTAAGCTTAAGAGCTGCTGGCAGGTGGATTTTGTCACAATTTAAGAAGAGCCAGGCTGCTTCCAGTCTTTATGCTAAAACAGATATAGCAGTACTATCAATCTTCTCATATTAGTGTCTGTCAGAAAGTGAATACACTAAATGTTTGCTTTTGTATAACGTTCCACAATGCAGCAGGTCAACCTGTCATGTTCACTCATACTCAGATAACACACAATGCAAAAGGTGAATAACTGGGGATCTGTTGAGGGGAACGATCATAAGAGATCCAGTATCATGTGAAACATGCAACCATGAATTATCAAGCTTGCTCACTTTAATCTCTAATTTGAAGGGCTATTTTGTTCACACACAGTAAGTAGAAACTTGGCTCCGTGAAGCCACTTCGGCCCATCTACGGCTGTTTGTGATCTGCGGTGAACGGGGTGGATATCGTTTGAGATTGGGAATGAATAGACTTCATCCCGAATCCTGGCAGGAGCGCTCCCCAGGTGTAGCTGAGAAAACCTGGACCCTTCCCAAATTCATATACCTCTCTCTCTCTCTACGTGCCAGAAATCAAGGTGTGTAGGCAGACACAAAAGATGTCAGTTGATAGCTGAGCTACTGAAAGGTGTTTACACAGGAGTTAAGCAGGGTTGTCCCTGACTAAATACATTCTCAGCTGGCAGTCGGTGGATATTATTTACAAATCAAGAGGTCAACCATCAACAAATCTGTAATACTGATTCTTACTTATTATGGCTGTCATGCTTGAGAGTGAACCTGTCAGGTCGGTGAAATATTCCTTCGAATTGCTGTCATTTAACCACCTAAGTCTATGTTTTGAAGTGATACATTTAAAGGATTTTAGTCATCGTTATTTGTGAAAGAATCCATTGCTAAAAGCTTTGCTACATTATATCTTCATGTCTGTATTTTACAATCCTGTAACGTTCTAGTGAGTTTGCATGTTAAACAATCTTTTCAGGGACAATAACTAACCGTTTTGGTAATCTCCAAATCTTATGCAATCAAATGCGTAGGAAGAGTAAATATTTTTCAAGAGCAGGCCTGCCATAGCGATCAGATTACTTGTGAGAATGATTAATAGTTTGCCAATTGATTTATGGTGCTCAATAAAATATTTTTCAAAAGCGATTAAAGGTTTCATCTTTAGCTGTTGCAAAATCGCCTACAGTTATATTTGCGGATAAATTAGCTTTCTTCACTGTGAACCGCGGGGGAACTCCTGGTTAAGGAGAAGTGATCGCCGTGCCTCGCAAAAGGCAAGACCAGACTGATATTTAACTTCAACAGACAATCTTTAACCTAAATCTACTAAACAGGCAGCCTATTGTGTAGTGTATGATGCATTATTGACCGAGGAAATCAACACAGATGTGACAATATATGGAGCATGAGTTGACTAGTTTGGAAAGGTCGAGAGTAAAACTAAGACAGTTTGAACTATAAACCTCTCCATAGCAGTGGTGGAAAAAGTGTTAAGATAATTCACTTGTTACCAAGCAAAATGGCCACCGAATAGAATGTTTAGTCTACGGTTGTAGTTGGTTCAGGTGGGGTCAATTTTAACTTTTTAAAACTGCTGGACAGTTTAATGGATAAAAGAATGCATCATATTTCACTTGAGCATCATATGTTTTCTGTGTCTGCAAAGTAATTCCAGCTGTCAGATGGAGTAAAAAGTAGCATACGATATTTCCAAGCGTAATGCATAATGAGCAACTCAAAAACCTACTAAATATTTCAAAACTTCAGATTGAAAGTTCATTTTTGACGATGGAAACAGCTGACAAAACTACTTTAACACAAGGTCCTCTTGTGATAAAAATTGCTCCAGTATTTGCTCCGGAGCTTTCAATGGTATCACACGCTCTTCTTCAGGAGAGAGTGCCCTTATGCTGAGCTTGTTTTGACATACAGCCCATGTCAAAACTCCTCGTACAGGGAGAAGGCTACTTAATCACTATAGTGGAGTAAACATACTTTCCACTGCTGCACAAAAATTAATCATTTTAAAATTTTACATTTTTTAGCCAACAGGGACGTCACTTTGATACAGTTCAGTACATGTACATTGCATCCTGCTTCTGCTGGATTATACAAATTCAGGGTTTGCCATTCTGGAAATAAACTGTCACTGAGTGGTGGTAAACAGTATTTGATCATATACAGGCCAGCTCAGAGTGACCTCAGTCTGCACAAACACTGACGGTATGGTGCTTAAAACGCCCACAGAGGAGAAACTGTCATTCCAATCGTATAAATGAAGACAACTCAGACAGATTTATCTGTCTCAAACCTGAGAGAGAATTGTGAATCAACTCGGCTCTCTGTATGCATTGCCATATTATTCTCTCTCTCTCTCTCTCCCTCTCTCTCCCTCTCTCTCTGCTGATGGGAGGAGCGCAGCGCAGCTCCTCTCTGTATAAGAAGTGTTGAACTTTCAACAAGGGATTTTACACAGCTACTCAGGAGAAACGAAATGATCTGCCCTGGAGCCGCAGCAAAATGCTGGATGGACACCTACTCCTGGGATGGTTAACGTTCACAGTTATAGTGTATCTTCTCAACTTGCCTGGACCAACCGCAGCATATTTCGGGTAAGAACAGATTTGTCCATGATGCTGCTTTCATTGATTTGATTGGTTCCTGAATTACAAATCAGGTAGCAACTTTTTTTCTCTCCTTCGAACTCACTGAAAACTTTTCTTTAACACAAGTTTATTTAGCGAGACTTCAACAAAAGTAATCTAATTCTACTTGGATTCGTTGTACGAGTTGTTTTGATTGCACTGATATCTGCGGGTCAGTGAGGTGTCATTTGGCGGCGGTACGTTGCGCAGCGCTCAGCGGCCTCGCAGCTGGTGGCTGCGGCAGGTTGTCTGCACATGATTTGGCCTCGCTGAAGCTGCTGACAATAAAAGCAAAAGAAAGAAAGTGTGACAAGCACGGTCAGCGAGTATCTTAGCAAGCCCATAAACACAGCATCTATTATAGGTCGTTATACGCAGCCGCGGAGTAATGTTGGCCGGGGAGCGTTCACCCCATTCTTTCCCTGACAATTGAGCCAGCGCCCGCTGTAAAGTAACCCCTGGGCATGTTTGAATGGCAGGTAGCGGTCGAGTGATTATTTTACTGAAACCCTTGTAAAATCATATTCTTGGTCGACTCTGAAAACAGCCGCGGAGCGAAAGGTGAGTGTATATGCCTCAGACTCCACAGCTGGTAACAATAAAGCAATCTGGTGGCCGAAACGTCTGCTCAGCTTGCACAGAAAATTCCCCCATCCAGCATAAACATCACACAACTCGAGCAGTTTTTTTTTTTTTTTCTTTCTATTTTCTGCTGCCTCAATCAACTTTGAAACACACTTGGAACACGTGTTGGAAATTAATCAGAAAAATTGAGCGTTTCAGGAATCATGTCATGTACACAATGATGCTTAATTTAAAAAAAGAGCACAACGGTGTATATTTCAATGTAAGTCATTCCCAGGGAACGCCTTGGATTTTAGGTGTAGCCCACTACGACCTCCACTTTAGAGTGCCTACTAATGCACTGAACTCTAGTTTGCCTACTTGCATGACCTGCACTTTTAGTTTTTTCTTCTGTCTCAGTTACAGAAGAACATTTACCCAGCAGGGAGGCCAAGGTCGTTCAAATGAGGTCAGGTGGAAGGGCAGCCATGTTTCACCTGGAACTGAAGAGGTTTTTTTATCCTAAAAAGCCCCCCCCCCCCCAGTGACAACTGACTGATTTGGAAACTGTCAGAACAAAATGTACCAAGGTGGTATGTCATAGTATACAGAAGCATCTTGGTGCTTTTCTGTATCTACAAATATGGGTGTTGATGGATGCCGTTAGTGCTCCCCTGGGCTGCTAAGAGTGCAGACGTTGCATAGAGACAAAAGGCGGTATAGGCTGTGAAGTGATGACACTTAAAACCTTTCCAGCAGAGTCAAATTTATGGCAGGTATGGGTGTTGTGCGGGATCCAGGAGTGTTAGTTGATCTGAGAACTGTGGTGGTGAATCTGCAAGAGAGGACAGGAAGTGTCTTCTGTTAGACTCGTGTGTTAGACTTGTCGACCTGTTGAAGTGGGATCTACCTTCTCCTTGATGAGGTATGGTGGTATAAAATCTTACAAAATATAAAAGGATAAGCAATCTTGGGAGTCCTGAATCGTTTTGTAGATGTCAAACTGTCTGAATTAACTTGATTGTTGTGATTAACACAGATTTTCACGTCTGGGTAAATGTTGTCGTCTTGGGTGTTGCACCGAAGTGTTCTCATCTGAGTGATGTAAACATGCTGCATGGCACCTGTAATAGCTCTGTATGATGGAAATATCTCAGCCCTTCTCAGTAAAACGTCATCATCTGTAATGCACATGCACACATCGAGCACATTCTCTGTCTCTGTCTTTGGTTTCAGTTCCAAAGTTGCACTGGAAGGACAAATGTAACCCTGCTCTCTGTTTCTGTCTCCCTCCCTGTAGCAGTGTCGCCCTTGGCAGGCAGCATGTATTAAGGTTGACGTGCCAAATTGGTACTCACATCGGCCTTAATGGTCCTAATGGTAATGCGTATTTACTCATTCAGTTAGCACTTGTTTTCAATTCCCTCTGTCAGTCTGTTCTCTATCTGTGGCCTGTGTAGCGCAGCGAGACATGTGGTATTGCGATACTCCAGACTTATTATTCCGCGGCCCGGTGAGGATGGAATATGAATGAGTGTCAGTGAATGATTTAGCCCTGCAGCTGAGGAACATGAAACATAGTGAAAGAGCCTGCACAGGTGACACTGATACAAAATGTGGCTGCCCCGCGGCCAACTTCTCAGAAACTCGACACCGGTGACACTCCGGCACAGTCCTGCTTGGCTTCAACTGTGGGCTACACTCGCGCAAACCTGTTCAAATATATATTCCATGAGCACAAGGCATCCTCGGGCCTCTTGAGTACTGATTTACTCAAAATAGAGGGTCAATGTTGCATACCCAATTTCCAGAGTGCGGTGGATCGTAAGTGTAACATAAACACAATCTCTCCTGCTCATAGTCTGCGTGGCTGAGGGTGGGGTGGGATTCCTGGCGTAGTCAAGCACTCGCTTAAATTGTCATCCTTTGCCACAAGAATGTGAGCACTCATTTTCTTCCCTCCAGCCTGTTGTGGCAGGTGCTGGTTCTGCTAAATCCGTTATCATTAGAATTTGAATCGGTAGCATTTGCCGAGCTTTCGCTACTTGACTTAATAGGTTACAGCACCTTGATGAGAATGTTTTGTAAACTGTCGGAGAGGGAAGTGTTTGCCCAGTTGACCCTGTCGGGGCTCCGAGGGCTCCCCGAGACGACTGTCGGTTTAAATTTGAGTTTTGGTGAAAGGCATGTCATTCTGTAGTCTTGTAAACTTTGCTGAATGCGAGTCCCAACACTGAGTCAAGAGTTTGTTTTTATTTAGTTCATGTGCGACATATACAGGAAGGCTGCCCACAGTAATGCTGCTGGGATTTACCAATCACAGAGGCACCGCAGCATCCGGAAGAAGCAAATATAGTGGTTGCTATTACTTGCTTTTTAATCATCCTCAAAGAATCTATCATCAGTTTGTTCCTGATGCCCTTTCAGATGGAAGTATTGTTTTCAGCGCCCCATTAAGTGAGGCAGAATGCCCAAAACAACAGGATAACAAATGGGATGTGTGTAAATTTACTGAGGAGGAAGGATTTTTCAGTTTGCAGCTGTAAAAGGTTTTATCACTGTGCTGAATTAGTTCCTGGTGTGTGTCGAACAGCAGCGTTTTAAAGTTTAAAGTAGACTCATTTCTTTAGCACCGGACAGAAATATTACAAGTTGTTTTTTTTAAGCGGCTCATGGTAAACATTTCCTTTGGTTCCCTCGTCTGTCTCCCTTCCCGTCTTCTGGGTCGCCTGCCTCATGTGCGTGCCGACATCCCTGCAGTGGTTTGTGGGGAGCTGGTGGGTGATTACTACTCATTAGGAGCAGCGCAGTTAGTGTGGGCTCAGGCTGGCGATGCCTGGCAGACAGTGGTGGCGGGCGTCTCATTACCAGGCCTTAAGGACTGATTAGCCCTGACATGCAGCAGGGTGGGGAGCACCGTTGATAGAGGTATTTCCCAACTTCATAGGATATCCTGTGGCTATAGCCACACCTCAAAGGGTATCACTTTACTGTGAGCCAAGAAGATAGGATTCTCTCAGCATTGACGCTGTGACTGTGCAGCGTGGTGAGATCACGCAAACCTGGAGGCTTAGATAACGGACCGCATGGCCTCTGAAAAGAGAGAGCTTTGTTTTCTTTATATTTCTGTTTGATACATCAGGATTTGAGCTAAGCCATGCTTAGCTTTGGGTGCTCTGCTGTACAATGTTCCCGTGGAAAGGCCTGCTACGCCTGTGGATGCCACAGGGTGGTGCAGCGCCTTCCGAGAGCGCAGGATAATCCTCAATCAGCACTTTGTAACCTTTTTTGAGTAACAGTAGGAGAGTGGGAAATGAAATATGAAAACATCAAATGCAAAGGCAGCCAAGTCTGTAAAAAAAAAATAAATAAAAAATATTCAGGAAACAAAAATACTTCTACGTATGCTTAGTTGTGGTCGACATGCATGACACGTTCGAAGTTTCTTTCAACTTCCGTTTACAGAGCAAAAAATCCCCTTTGCACAGAATATGATGTCTTCTCTAAACTAAGTAATGCACAACGTTACTGTTTGTTTAACAGGTTGAATTATCAAGAATTACAGAGTGGTACACACCTTAATAGGTTTCAGTGGTATTTGTAGTGGGTTGTTATGGGGCTCCTACTGTATAATAACATGGTTCCCATGAATATCTTTGAAGATTACATGGTTTGGTAAGGCTTTTGAAATGTGTTTGGCTTTCACATCTTAAAAACGTTCAGTTCTGGTGTCATCAGCATGCCGAGCAGACCGCAGCCAAGACATATTCGATTTTAAAAGGACTGTCCCACCAGTCAGCTGTGCACTTCATTGGTGGGTATAGTCAGAAGATATGGGAAGGAAACTCCCGTTGAAGGAAACTCTTGTTGGTAATGCATGATGATCTTTGCAGATGGAGCTGGAGACATGGGCAATTTGCAAAACAGGAAAACGAATATAGGCTCAAGATACTTTTAGTGGTCAGACATTGATGAGATGATGCTAGTTAGTGCGACCGCTATGTTCTGTGTTTTCCATCCTTGACCACAGGCGTTTTCGCTGCCTGGTTTGTGGGGATATAAGAGACATGGCACTTCACATGTGTGCCAAGATTAGCAGATTGACAAACCCTCACTTAAGGCTTTGGCCTTCTAGAGAATAACTGTGCGTTTCTCATGTCTAACTCTGTTGTTTTTAGTCAGTGTTGTCAGTTTAAAACGTGGCTTTCCGCAGCAGCCGAAATAACATCCTGGTTTTGAATCTCATGCACCTGTGAAGATGAATAATTTCATAAAGGATGAAAGGAAGTTGACCGTACCTCAGAAACTGCAGGGTTAGACTTTTACTGCACTTAATCAGGACGTTGATCTTGCGTAAACACAATCCTATAGAAGCCTGACCTGACATGCACTGAGATACTTCA